CCCCCCCCCCCCCCCCCCCCCCTCCCTCGCAGAGCCCCCAAAGTAATGTTGTGCCGTCGCAGGTCGGTATGTATATGTATGTATGTATCTGTTTGGTGCCGCGCTATTTGTAGTGGCTTTTATACTTCGTTGTTGTTCGGGTAGACTGGGGCGTTGGTGGGGACCTGTCTATCTGCTGTTTCTTGTTTCGTTGTCTTTCTTTCGCTCTCTGTCCTTCCTTTTTTCTCTTTTCTTTCTTTGCCTTTCGTTTTTTCATTCCTTTGACCGGGGGTCGTCGATCGTCTGTTTATATCCCGATTTTAGTTTGCCTTGGTACTGGTGATCCCTTTTCGGTTGGATAACAAATCGCGCCTTGGAGGAATTTTCTGGTCTCCATTATTATTTCTATATTTCTTAGGAAGGTGTACCCCCCGCCCCTATGGGGGGCAGTTGGCTGGTGACCACGGAAGGCGTCCGCGTCAGTTGGACCAGTACGGACATTAGAAGGTACTGAGTAGAGAAGGGAACGGTTTTTAGTGTGAAGACAACCACTACAACAACAATGGTTGACGCACCGACAGAGACAGAATACAACTTTTTTCATGCAGCATTCTAAGAGTAATGGATTGTGGTTGCGTGCGGGCCGAACGAGGGGGAGACACAGGTACAATATCATCATTATCAAGGACTAGTGAAGAGTCAGTGGCTGCGGCAGTAGACTTGCCCGTGAAAGGCTGCACGTCGGTCAAGAATGGTCAAAATATTTGTATTCTCAAAATCGGTCGCTGAGACACAACCAACCGTGCTGCTGGAGCAGAGGCCTCCTGAAGTAGCGATTTGTGTGAAACAGCAGTTTGCAGCATGCATGGGTGGGGATGGGTGCATGTCGGAAAAAAAAAAGTGAGGTGTGTCTAGTCGCTGCTATGATGTACGTACGATGAATAAGTTTGGTATGTGTGTGTCTTTCCCTTCCCTCTCTACCGCCCACATATCATGTTTGGAATGCTCCATGCCTGTTACGTTTCGTGTCAACCATGCCGCTTTTCAACCATCCATGAAGCGTGCCTCGGATGTCGGTCATGATCTCGTGTATGGTGGTGATTTGGTATGCTTCAGTGATGGTGGAAAATTACATTGTGCGGCACCTTGTAGCCTAGCCAACCCAGGTATATAGCCCGACCTTGTTGTGACACGGACGGGTGAGAGTAGGCGTCGACCAATCAGTACAGATAGCTACGCTCATTTCACGCTGATGATAAAATACAAAATGTTTGCAGAAGCGGCCATCAGTGTGTGAGTTCGGCTGCTCTCAACACATTCCGCTGGCAGCACGAACACATCTACTGCTGTACAACACAGTACAGAGCGGGTGCATGCGTGCATCATGTTCGGTTGTCTAGCACGACGCTCGCCGCAAACCAGGCCGCCCACCCGAACCGTGTTTTGCCACACGGAAGGTCTGATGTACAACGTCATACAGCCGAACCTGTATGTCCGCCCGAGGCGCAGTAGGAGCCCACTCGGCATCCCGAATGGCCTCATTGTTCCCCCCCGCACGCTTTCTTCGACGCCCGCGCTGCTGGCCGTTGCCCTTGCTTCGCGCTTCTTCGTCGACGTTGAACCCTAGCCCGGCAAGCAGCTCTTCGGCTTTCGCGCTGTCCACCCTGCCTCGCAGGCGGGTCGCCTCGCGGCGTGGGGTGGCGTAGGGACGCTCACGGAGCAGTCGCTGCGAGTGGCGAGCTTGCCCGTCTGCTGGTGGTTTTCGTGTGCGAGGTGGAGCGGAAATTTGGTTCGTAAGGCCTTACTCGAAGGAGCTGTTGCACAAGGTACAGCAGTAGCATACAGGCTGAGATCCATGTCTGTCTGTTGCTGGCATAGGTCGTGGCGGAAGTGCTAGCGGTCGTTGCCCAAGCTGTGGCGGTCGTGCTATGTAGACGTTTTATACCCAGTGCTTCTGGCAAACAACCGTCGCTCGCGACGCATCAGCAGTCACAACAACAAAGGGGGAGCCCGCTCGGCTACTACACGACGTCTGAACCCTTAGTTGTGCGAAAAACCAGCGCCTACACGCCAGTAACACACCACGGACCACAGCGGGGTGGCCGACAGCAGGACTAGATTGCTGCTGTACTGCCACAACAACATCACAGACGTTTTTTCACGTCAAACGTCAACAGGGCAGCAGGGCAACAAGCCCCGGTGGTCTATTATATTGTAGTTGGTATCCTCGAAACCTTCTGGAGGTCAGGTTGGGGATTCGAATCCCGGCGTAAAAAGCGAGCATTTCTTGCAAAGTGAGTTTTTCCCTCGCTTCCGCTCCTGGCCTAGTGGATCGCGCTACTTCGTGTGTACACAGAGGGAAGAGAGTGCTGAACTCTTCTCGCATTAGAAATCGAAGGCAAAGTACCGCAGGAGGGGAGGGCAGAGAGGCGCTCTTCTGTGTGACCACGGGTTGGAGTACTGCTGTAAACGGCATTAGTGTTGTGAGTGCTGATTTGAAGTCAAGACAACAAAATAAAAGAAGTCTCTCTCACCCGCTGCCAGTGGCAACAGCTGCTGCTGCTGCTGTTGCTGCTCCGGCGGGGAAAGAAGAGCGGCGGTCGCCGTGACGAAAGCAAAAGCAGGCACCATCCTACCACGCCGATCAAATACAGGAGCCGTCCGTGTCTCACACGTCGCAGGCACAGCAGTGCCAGCGTGCAGGCAAGCAGCTCCCCCGGAGGTTGCAGTCGCGGGTTAGATGGTCCTGGGGGGCTCCGAAAATCATACACACATACCCTCCTATCTTTCGGCCCCCCGTCCCTCCATCCATCCTCGCTCGGGGTCCCAGGGGAGCAAAGCTGGACACCTAAAAGGACTGCTGGTGTATACAGAGGGCGAGTCGTGCGCGGGGGCAGACGTGGAACCCCCGGAGGGACACGCAAGGGGCGTGTCTGACATGGCGTTCGGGGCGACCACGTCAAAGCTCGTGACTATCTGCGCGACGCACAGCAGGTAGAGGGACCCGGTGAAGGAAAAAAAAAATTGTGCTGTTTGCCCCCCACGGACCGACAAGAGCTAGCTGGATGGAGTCCACACCAGAAGTCTGGATTAACACCATTGACGCCAAGGGGCGGCTCACGATGAAGGGGAAGGTGCACCGCCGCTCGCAGAGTGCGCCGCTGGGATCCCCGTCATCGGCGAGATCCTCTGCCCTTGTCTCTCAGCAGCAGAGTACCGCATCGGGGTGAGTGTCGAATGCTCTGGTTTTATGTGGCAAGAAAAATAAGCAGGACGCGGACTTGCCTGTGCAGAGGAAAGAAAGCCCTGGCGTGCCAACCTGGAATATGCGAATTCCAGTGGCTATGTTCGACGGTAGCGTGAGACCGACCGACTGTCTTGGAACGGGAGCGTGTCGGTGACTGGTTTCGGGTTGGCTTGTGCCTGGCTTCAAACGTATTGTGCGGTGCTTGTGCCCTCTCTCGCTTTTTACTTTTTACAGACGTACCCGACTTTCTCCAAGCAGCAGAGGCGTGAGAGAAAAACCTCGGTACCTTCCACCACTCCAATGCAATTTCACAGGTGGTTTGCTCAAACCACAGCAGCAGTTCACCAACTACAGTTACAGCGTAGTGGAGTACACGCGGCTACGGCGCTCTGCGCGATTCATGTGCCCCGCCGTCTATCTTGCGATTAACTAGCGGGCGGGCCGGTGTGTTTCCGGATATTCAAATGCTTCCGTTGGTTGACACCAAAACTGACGCAACCATGTCTTCAAATATTTTTGTTTGTTGAACCTCCTCTCCTCAAGTAAGAAACAAATAACGCGCGGGGTGCTGAGAAACGTGACTCACTCTGCCGGCTTACCTCAACCGAACGGTTTCGTCGTTTCCATACAGCACTAAAATAGTTTTCATTGCGCCAAAACTCTCCCTGGAAATCTGGCTGGCTTGGCGTGCAATGTGTGTTGGGGGCGCATGACACGACCCATACTTCAAGTCAGTAATTTCGTTGGTTGCTAGCAGGTCCTCACCCACGTCGTTCTCCTCGGTCTGTGACACCTCACACCGGCGGGAGCGGACCAATCGGCGTCGGCCGTCCTCTGCGGCGTCCTTGGCCACAAAAGGGCCGCTGTCTCCCTGCGTGATGAAAAAAAAAAAATGTGCTGGTGTTTACCGCACGCAACAAGGGCCAATATCTAGCGGACACCATTCTGTTACACGCAAGTCTCATTTGCTTCCTGTCTACGCCCGCCCTCTCCCCCTCGGCCAGGCGCCTGTCCCCACGCCGCCGCAACGGCAGCGGTTTCTCGTGCCCTCAGACTCTCCAGCCGCCGCCGCCCTTCCATCATCACCGCCGTGCCTCCAGCATTGCCACGGAGTGCTTGTTGTCGCCGCCGCCATCCGCCCGGAGACCGCCATCATCGTTGTCGGCGGGGCTCCAAGACGAGGAGGCGTTGCCACGGCCTCCGTTGCGACGGAGGTGAGGCTATTTGCTGCTGTAGTGTCTACTTGCTGTCGGGGCGTGTTACGGTTGGCTTCTAACGGTTCGTGGCCTGCGGTGTTGTTGAGGCCTGCTGCGTTTGGGCTTCATTTGGTCGCGTGCGCAGGATATTTGCTGTTGTTTCGGGGCTGCGTTTGGTCGTGGACGTAGGATATTGCCGTGGGATGGGGCCCAATGGCAAGTAGTTGTTTTCCGCTTGGTGTGTATGCATACAATGTGTCATTGCTTGGCCCTGTCCAGCAGTGGTGAAGCTGCCATGGTTGATTTTGCGTGACTGGTGACATGTGGTGATTCTTACGAACGCGTTGATACATGTCAGCGAGTTATCCAGCGTGCGGCGAGGTGGTTGGTTGTAGTGGGTCCAAGCAGCAGCAATCGTCATCACCGCAGCGAACCTACGGACAAGTAGCAGAGTACATTGCCAATATTCAGTTTCGTCATCGTGGTATTGAATTCCCAGCATTCCACTGCGATGATATCTGCCATGATGTCATGATACATATCGGAAGGACAATCACAGCATGTGTCTCTCCTTGTATCTTGTATCTTGTCTCTTGTATCTTGTCTCTTGTATCTTGTCTCTTGTCTCTTGTCTCTTGTCTCTTGTCTCTTGTCTCTTGTATCTTGTATCTTGTATCTTGTATCTTGTATCTTGTATCTTGTATCTTGTCACCTTGGTACCTGCTGTTGTGGGCGAATCCATGAGCGCGCTTCAAACGCCGTTTTTCTCGAGAGCGGCGCTTTTTTTTTTCGCATATACCCCGGATCGAGAAGGTGGAAGTTTCCTTGCGCGTGTATTTGCCGTTCTCTTCATGGCTCTCGGAAAGTGTTGAGCCCTAAATAGCGGAGGTCATTCAACAAAACCACAACCGCTGTGGAACCTTTGATATTTGCTGGTACACCGTTAAGCACTGCTTGGTGGGTGGCATCAAAGCTTCAAGAACCATTTTTGCGATGCGCCCCTTCCTCTCAAAGCTTCTGAAACCGTTCGACCATTTCTTTTTTCCGCCCCTCCCACATTCCGGTAACCAGGGCGGAGCCGCCGTACAACGCGCGCAGGACTGCCGGTTCTCGCGAATCAGACAGCAGCAGCAGTTCCTGCAGCCACCGTGGTGGCCGTCCGCGGACTCCCCCGGGGCTCGGGAGTCGCGCGGGAGACGGGGGGGCGGGGGGAACAGCTGTTAATTTTCGGTCGCCGCCGAGGTCTCCGCAGACGAGGTTGCACTCGAGGGGAAGCAGGGAAGCAAAGGTAGGCACGAGCCGTTTTCTTGAACCTACGGCGGTTTTACATGAGCCACTGGCTGCGTGCGGGGGTGTGGGTGGGGGGGCGGTCGTACACTGCCGCTTATTTGCCTTGTTGGAGTGGCGCGCCGTAGGAGAAATTGGTGCTGATGCCACTGAAGTTTGTGTTGTCCTGAGATGGGTGCCGAGAAGAGAGTTCCATGTTTTTGCTGTTGCTTGGCGTGCAAGTGGTGCCACCGCCGTGCAGTCGGTGGGGTGGTGAAGCCGATGGGTATGCAGACGCGAAGCACCGTTCGTCTTATGAGTTGCCACGAGCGAATGCCCGTAGATATCACAAGATATCACACACACACACACACCCAGGACCAATTTTTCAGAGCTCTACTATTCCCTACTCCACGACGAAGACGACGCAGAGTCCAAACGAACGATACATTATCGTAAAGTGCTCGACGACACGTTTCCAACGCAAACGTGTTTAGCAATGCAGCTCTTGCTGCTGCGGAGAAGTGGAGCGTTGACAATCAGTCCAGGGTGTTGCGATTTTCAAAGCTCCATTTCTCCACAGCAGCAAGAGCTGCAATGCTAAACACGTTTGCGTTGGAACCGTGTCGTCCAGCACTTCACGAAAACGCATCGTTCGTTTGGACTCTGCACCTTCGTCGTCATGGAGTAGGGAATAGTAGAGCTCTGAAAAATCGGTCCCGGGTGTATGTGTGCGATATCTTGTGCTCCCTACGGGTACACCCAAGAAGCCTCGGTAGGGTTATCATTAAGGAAACATGTTGTATACAGCATACAGTCGGGGAAGTTGGGTTAGGGTTAGGGATAGGGTCTGCGTACCCCCTCCCTGGTCTATCGCTTCATTAAATTATCATTCTGGCGAAGGTGGTCCGGTACATCTGCGTGCAAAGAGAGGCTCCGATGGTGGTGGCGGGAGGACGGTCGTTCGAGCTTTGTGGGGTCGTTGGTGGCGGGTTTCGAAATCGCTGCGTTATTCATGTACACAGGCGGTGGGTGTGCTTGCGTGTACCGTATATGACACAAGATAACACACCCCCTTGACCGATTTTCGAAGCTCGATTTCTCAACTGCAGGAACAGTCACAGCGCCAAAAACGGCGGCGTTGAAACCGTCTCGCCGAGAGCTTTT